CTCGAGCGAAAAGCTTGTTTTTTTCATAATTTGTTGAGGATGTCTCGAGCGAAACGCTAGTTTTGCAGAGTTGGGGTATCTAACATGGCGTCGGGCCGAACGCCGCATTATGAGGAAACGCACGGGGGGCCGAAAAGTGCTACCCGAACACATGTCCCAAAACAGAAAAGTGATGGTTTCTTGCTCTGAACAGGGGGTTGCGCTTTGGGGGCCTCTCCAGGGAAGACATTGCGAGGATTTCTCGAGCAGGAGCGCGAATTTAGCGTATTTAGGTCACGTATGGGGGGTATCTAACATGGCTTTCCCGAGCTGGAACCACGTGTTTTTTCATGCTCAGGCCACCCAGGGAGATCTCTAACATGATTGTCCCGAGCTGGAATCATGTGTTTTTGCGTGTCCAGGCCACCCAGGGGGTATCTAACATGGTTGTCCCGAGCTGGCACCGTGTTTTTACGTGTCCAGGCCACTAGCACGACGCTTGTCCCCAGCACGTTCTGTAGCGCGTCCCCTTGGCACGTCCCGCGGTGCGTCCCCGTGGCACGTTCTCTGGCACGTCGCCTGGCGCGTCCCTTGGAACGTTCCGCGGCGCGTCTTCCTGGCATGTTCCCTTGGCAATTAGCTCTGGGGCAGCTACTATGTGGACTATGTTCCCAGGCAGCTCGAGCTTAAGATCCAGATCAATTCGGTCAGGACTCGGATGCAACGGAGGACTCGATCCACAACATTATAGAGCACAATCGCGGCAAGGCACATCGCAGTTCAGCACGGCTCAGCACAGCACAACCCTCGGCACGGTACATCAAGATCGATACATTTACTCTGCGTTGCAACTTGGCACGCTCCATGGCACATTCCGTGGCGCGTCCTGTGGCGAGTCCCCCTGGCACGTCGCGCGGCGCGTCCTCTGGCACGTCCCGTGGCACGTCCACTGGCACGTTCCGTAGCGCGTCCCCTTGGCACGTCCCGCGGTGCGTCCACGTGGCACGTCCCCTGGCACATCGCCTGGCGCGTCCCTTGGCACGTCCCGCGGCGCGTTCTCCTGGCAGGTTCCCCTGTCAATTAGCTTTGGGGCAGCTACTAGTTATGTGCTCAGGCAGCTCGAACTTAAGATCCAGATCAGTTCGGTTAGGACTCGGATGCAAAGGAGGACTCGATCCACAACGCTATAGAGCACAGTCGTGGCATGGCACATCGCAATTCAGCACGGCGCAGCACAGCACTGCCTTCGGCACGGTACATCAAGATCGACACATTCAGCATTGCAATCTGGCACGTTCCTTGGCACGTTCCGTGGCGCGTCCCGTGGCGAGTCTCCCTGGCACGTCGCGCGGCGCCTCCCCTGGCACGTCCCGTGGCGCGTCCCTTGGGACGTTCCGCGGAGCGTCCTCCTGGCATGCTCCCCTGCCAATTAGCTCTGGGGCAGCTACTACGTGTTAGGGCGGCTCGAGCTTAAGATCCAGATCAGTTCGGTCAGGACTCGGATGCAAAGACGGACTCGATCCACAACGCTATAGAGCACAATCGCGGCATGGCACATCGCAGTTCAGCTCGGCTCAGCACAGCGCAGCCCTCGGCACGGTACATCAAGATCGATACACTCAGCATTGCAACTTGGCACGTTCCTTGGCACGTTCCGTGGCGCGTCCCGTGGCGAGTCCCCCTGGCACGTCGCGCGGCGCGTCCCCTGGCACGTCCCGTGGCACGTCCATTGGCACGTTCCGTAGCGGGCCCCTTCGGCACGTCCCGCGGCGCGTCTCCGTGGCACGTCCCCTGGCGCGTCGCCTGGCGCGTCCCTTGGGACGTTCCGCGGCGCGTCCTCCTGGCAGGTTCCCCTGTCAATTAGCTCTGGGGCAGCTACTATGTGTTCAGGCAGCTCGAACTCAAGATCCAGATCAGTTCGGTCAGGACTCGGATGCAAATGAGGACTCGATACACAACGCTACAGAGCACAATTGCGGCACGGCACATCGCAATCCAGCACGGCGCTGCACAGCACAACCCTCGGCACGGTACATTAAGATCGATACACTAAGCATTGCATTTGCCCGTCGCCCAATCAGGTGTCTTTGAAACGTTGCCATGTCTTACATTTCTATATTTCTTTCTGGGTTCGTGGGTCGATCATGTTACCTGAAACTTCCGACCGACGTGTGACCATGCAGCCACAAGGAGATGGTGGCGGAACGATGTGTACGTGGGCGAGCTAGGCGGCATGCGTCGACGCTCCTCCTCAGTCTGCTCCTCATCCTCCTCCTTGATTCCTCCCCTTCCTCCTCCTGCCAAGAGATCGCTTGTTCGGAGCTCGCGCCAGGGCCTTCAGCAGGAGGTCGACGGCGCTGCGGGCCCTGTTCCGATGGCCGACGAGGGAGTCTCTTTCATCGAGTCTATGGCTCCTCCTCCTCCTCCTCCTCCTCTCGATGCTCCTCCTGGGATCGGGCTGGATGGGCGAGCCGTCGCCTCCCTGAATGCACCATGGGCCAGCAGGTTTTGAATGACTTAGCGGGAACAGTTTTGCCGGAGCTGGGAGGTCGTGAGCGCATGGCATCACAGTCTCCTGGGCTTGTGCCCTTTTAAGAAACGTTGCGTCATCATCATCGTCATCACCATCTGCAGCAGCAACATCGTCATCGCCATCACCATCACCCTCACCATCATCGCCATCATCGCCATCATCACCGCTTCCATCATTCCCATCACCATCACCGCCATGGGCAGTATCGTCATCATCGTCATCATCCTCATCGGAACCATCACCCATCACCACCGCCATCCTCATCATCATCGTCAGCATCATCATCATCATCGTCATCATCATCACCACCACCACCATCAGCATCATGAGCATCATCATCATAATCATCATCATCATTATCATCATCATCATCATCATGACCACCATCATCATCAGCATCATCATCATTAGCATTCGTATTATCATCATGATTGTTGTTGTTGCGGCTATTATCTTATCATAGCCATCAGTTTCCACCATTCCTCAATATCACTATCACCATCAGTATGCCATTGCTATATATTATTCAATTTTCCATATAGTCATCATTCTTCCATTGTTATCATTCGCATCATCATTACCATTAGAAACATGTCAGTATTTTCATTAGTTTTCATCATAGTCGTCTTCGCCGCCGCTGTCGTCGTTGTTGTTGCCGTCTTCGTCGTCGTGGTCGTCGTCGTCGTCGTCTTCATCGTCATCATCGTCCTCATCATCGTCCTCCTCGTGGTCGTCGTCGTCGTCGTCAGTATTATAAGCATCATCATCACCATCATTATCATTATCATCGTCGTCATCATCATGATCATCGGTATTATCATCACTTTTCATCATAGTTGTCGTCGCCGCCTCTGCCGCCGTCGTTGTCGTCGTCGTCGTCGTCGGTATTGTCATCACCACCATTGCCATCGCCATCGCCATCGCCATCGGCATCAGCATCAGCATCAGCCTCAGCCTCAGCATCAGCATCAGCATCAGCATCAGCATCAGCATCAGCATCAGCATCAGCATCAGCATCAGCATCAGCATCAGCATCAGCATCAGCATCAGCATCAGCATCAGCATCAGCATCAGCATCAGCATCAGCATCAGCATCAGCATCAGCATCAGCATCAGCATCATCATCATCATCATCATCATCATCATCATCATCATCATCATCATCATCATCATCATCATCATCATCATCATCATCATCATCATCCGTATTCGGCTCACCCCCTGTGGAAACTGAGGAAAGCCGAAACCATGGTGAACGGACACGGGAAACTATAGCGGGGTATGCCGGGATGGACAATGGGGATGACGTGCGAGCGCCACCAATGGGGCAGTAGGTGGAGCTCCCTGTGGGGCACGTTCCGCGTGAGTTGGTTTGCTGAGATGGGCGGGGATGGGGCAATGGGACTTCCCCTAACAGTGCCGTTTGGGCACCATTCCTGTACGTAAGTTGTATGCGAAGGCTTGCGCGGGGGCGCTGTGCGAGCTCTCCCAGTTTGGCCGCAGGTGGAGGGCTTTGTGGGGCACGATCCGCTTGAGGTGCGCGCCGAGACGCGCGGAGGGACGCCATGCGAGCTCCCCATAGTGTGGCCCCATGGACCAAGATCCGCGTGAGGGTTGTGCCGAAATGCGCGTTGTACGATGACAGCTCCCTCTACGGCTATAAGTGGGGTTCCCCTTTGTGCAAAACCAGTGTGAAGGGTCCGCCGAGATGCGCGTGTGGGGTGTACGAGACCCCCAAGTTGGAAAGTATGTGGAGCTTCCCAGGGGGCACGATCCGCGTGAGTGGTGTGCCGGATTAGGCAGGGGGGGTGCAGCAGTCGGAGCAGCAGCAGCCGGTGGGAGGGGAGGATGGAGGGGGATGCGGGAGGAATAAGAGGGAAATGCGCAGCGCAGCGGAGATAAAGCCAGGACCGCAAAACACAAGAGGTCTGGAAGTAGCCTCCGCAGAGCATCCCTCCCAACAACAGCTTCGGTCATCAGAGTCATCAACCTCCCTCTGTCGCATCTTCGTCCTCCCTCCTATCACCATCTCTCCTCGTATCCTCCTCTCGCATCTCCCTCCTCCCCCCTCCTGCTTCACTTGCACTCGCCACCGCCGCCGCCTCCGCTGTCAAACACACTTCTTGTTCCTGCCCTGGAGTGCGTCATGCGGTGGATTTTAGGGCGGACCCAGTCGCGGCGGCGAAGGGCTCGCCTAAGGCCCAGCGTCGTCACCGCCGCTGGTCTCGTCGTCGCCGGTGGCAACGACGACAACAGCGTAAACGACGGCGGCGGCGGCGTCGACGACGACGACGACGACGGACATGGCAACGGTGACGGCGAAGATGGCGACGACGGTCATCGCGACTCTGACGGCGCCAGCGACGGCGACGACGGTGACGACGACGACGACGGCCGCGGTGACGACGGCGCCGGCGACGACGGTGGCGACAACGGCGACGACGACGGAGAGACGGCGACGGCGGCGACGGCGGCGGCGAGCCCCGAGGTGCTGCGCGCCCGGGTCGACTACGCGCGGCGGCCGCAGGGCGCGCGGCCAGCAGGCGCGCGCCCTCGCAGCTCGGCCGCGGCCGCCTGGACGAGCGACGAGCGACGAGCGACGAGCGACGAGCGACGACGACGACGACGACGACGACGACGACGACGACGACGACGACGACGACGACGACGACGACGTCGAGCGCCACGGGCCACTGCGACGTCGACGAGCGTCAGCGACTGCTACGACGACCAGCGGCGGCATAACCGCGCCAACGAGCGACGGCGACGTTGCCGACGAGCTGCGGCGGCGGCGGCTGCCGCCGCCAAGCGCCCGCGGGCGCGCCGCGCCGCGAGCACAGCCCAGCGGACGAGGGAGGAGCGACGGCGACGGCGGCGGTGGCGGAGGCGAGGAGGTTTGGCGTGCGCGCCAAGCCTTGCTGGGCGCGTGAGCCAACATCTTCGTCTCGGAGGTGTGCTAAGGGTTGCTGGCAGCTCTCGCGGCCGCGGCCAGACCCGCCATGGAGGGCGGAGGATGAGGATGAGGATGAGGATGAGGAGGATGAGGAGGATGAGGAGGAGGAGCAGGAGGAGCAGGAGGAGGAGGAGGAGGAGGAGGAGGAGTAAGGTGGAGGAGGAGGAGGAGGATGAGGATGAGGATGAGGACGAGGATGAGGATGAGGATGAGGATGAGGATGATGATGATGATGATGATGATGATGATGATGCTGATGATGATGATGATGATGATGATGATGATGATGATGAGGATGTGGATGAGGATGAGGATGATCAGGAGGAGGAGGAGGATGATGATGATGATGATGATGAGGAGGAGGAGGAGGAGGAGGGATGCATGGGGGGAGAGATGGAGGGAGGGAGGGAGGGAGGAGGTTGGAGGAGGAGGAGGAAGGAGGAGGAGGAGGAGGAGGAGGAGGAGGAGGAGGAGGAGGAGGAGGAGGATGGGGCTAGCGCTGCTGAGCGATGGGGCTCCCAGGCTGGCCCGCCTGGGAGGGCGCAGCGGCGGGAGAGGTCGTCCTGCCAGCGCATAGAGCGTATGTCTGCAGTGCGCTCCAGGCCAGGTGCAGCGCAGCACTGCGACAACGGCTACAAACGCGGGATGGGGTGTCGTTGGGCCCTGTGCTCCGGATGGATTCATCCGCCGCGTTTACTCTTCGCATGCCCGTCGCCCATCGCGGTTCTCTTCGGGCAGCGTTCCGTGGGGCGTCTCCGGTGCCAGCTCCTCGTCCTGACCCACTCGTGTGGCGCCCGTTCGAGGGCGCGGAGGCAGGTCTGTGTCTGCTGTCAGAGGCAGATCCCCAGCCCCACCCTACGCATCCTGGGCAGCTGCAAGAGCACGAGCGCGGCGAGGGCGGCTCATTGAGGGAGGCGGCGGTTCGCGAGATCCTCGCAGCCCGCCCCGGGGAGACTGGGTATGCAGAGGCGGCATCCTTCTCCAGAGATGTCGAGATGGCGGCTCTGGGGCCCAGCACCGGAGTAAAATTACCCTCTCCTACTCGGCTCGTCCTCCTTGCCTGCGTCCCTCCTCCCCGCCCCCCCTCTGTTGCTGGAGGGCGGGGTTGGGTCAGACTGGGCTCGTTGAGGCCAAGCCGGACTGCCCCCTCCCCCTGGGAATGTCTCTGCCCCCCTTCCGACAGCCTCGCATCTGCGTCGTGCGATGGCAGGGCCTCGGTCGAAAGGTCATGCAAGAGCTCCAATCGCCGAGGGCTTCCATTCCTGCGCCCGGCTTGCGACAACCTGTAATCGGGGTGGACCTGGACGGAGTGGAGACTAATGTCCCACTCGATCTTCTCCCCCCGCCCTAGATAGAGTGCCACGGCGGGCTCTCGCTGGGTCGCCGTCGGGTCGCGCACGGTCACCCCGCCGGGAACCTGGTGCCCCCCCATGGAAAGGCGGCCACGCACGAGGTCATCGCACCATCTTCGGGAGGACCAGTCCAATGCAATCCTCCTTCCTCCTGCCTCCTCCTTCCTTCCCCCTCCCTCCTCCCACCTCCTCTTCCCCCCCTACCTCCCTCGTTCCTCCCCCAGTGGGCGCCCCGTGAGAAAGCCTTGGGGCCTCTTGGGCAGCGTCCTGGGTGCGCGCCTCGACAAGGCTGGCGCGTATGACACCTCTGGCCTTGGGGGCCTTGTCGGGTGCCTCTTGGGGGTCTATTGGGCGCCCCGTGGGAGCCGGAACCCTCGGGGCCTCTTTGGCAGCCCCCCCGACGACGGCGACGACGACGACGACGACGCACGACGACGTCGACGGACGACGCACGACGACCACGACGACGACGACGACGACGCGACGCCGCCTCCCCCTGCCGCGCCCGCCTCCCGCCCGCAGGCGGCCCGCCCGTGGTGCAGGGCGCCCGCGGGCCCCGCAGCGCCTGGGCCCCCGCGGAGGAGCAGGGCGCGCTCCAGGCGCCCACGTGCACGGCCCGCTCTGGGGCAGCGAGGTCTAGTTCTTAGTCAGCAGCCGCAGGCGAGAGCGCCAGCGGCGAGTCGAGTCAGAGCGGGCCGCGCAAAGACGAATTAACCTAAAGCCGAAGGGCCAGAGCCTCAGGCGGCACCTCGGCGGGCAAGCCGGCGAATGGGGGGGTGCAAGCGAGGTCTATACGCGAGGCCTTCCAGAAAGGGTCTCGCCTGCGAGGATCGAGTGGGGCTGTCCTCTCTTCTTCGGCGGAAGGTGGCGGAAGGGTCCTCTCGGAGGCCTCTTGGAGGTCTCTTGGGCCGTCTTGGACCATCTTGAGGCCATCTTAGGCCGCCCTGACTGCATCTTGGGCCGTCTTGGAGGCATCCTGGGGGATCCTGGGGCCATCTTAGCCGTCTTGGAGGTCATCGTGGCCATCTTGGGGCCCATCTTAGCCGTCTTGGAGGTCATCGTGGCCATCTTGGGGCCCATCTTGGGTCATCTTGGCGGTCTTGAAAGCCGTCTTGAGCCGTCTTGGGGAACAAATTCTGCAAATTCCGCGCTTTCCGGATGGCAAGCGGGCTGGGCCGGAGCCCCAGGGGAGAGTTCTTTTGGAAAAAGAGCCAAAACCAAAACCGAAAGGGTCCAGCACGCCAGGCATCCCTGTGGCAAGCCAGCAGGGGGCGGCGGATCGAAGACGCCTACGGCGAATCACCGCCGCCCCCTGCCCCTTTTGAAGCGCCTATGTGGCCGACAAGTGGGGCTAGAGCTTGGCCAAGCTATCGGGCCAGTTGTTCCCCGAGTCGGTTTGGAAAGCCTTCGGGGAACGCGTGGGGGAGCAATAGGAGGAGGATCAGGAGAGGGAGGAGGAGGATGATTAGGATGAGGATGAGGATGATGATGAGGATGAGGATGATGGGGAATGAGGAGGAGGAGGAGGAGGAGGAGGAGGAGGAGGAGACTTCTTGGGAACTGTCTTGCGAGGCCTCTTGGGAGGCCTCTGCGGAGCTTCCTGGGAGCCTTTTGGAGGCCTCTTGGGAGCCTCTCTGGGCCTCTTAGGGGCTTTTCGGGGCCTTTGGGGGCTTCTTGGAGGCCTCTTTGCCCGTCTTAGGGCGTTCCCGACCCGTCTGACACCGTCGGAAGCCGTCTTGGGGGCCTCTCTGAACCGACTTGGGGCTCTCTTGGGGCGCTTAAAGGCCGTCTTGGAGAGTATCTTGGACGGTCTTGAATGTCGCCGTGTTGGGGGCCTCTTGGGCCGTCATGCGGCCATTTTGGTGGCCTCTTGGGCGATCTTGGGGCGACCTTGGGGACCTCTTGGGCCGTCTTGGGCCGTCGGAAGGCCGACAAGGCGCAAATGCCCAAAACCTTCAAACACCTAATGACAGTTAGTGATTTTGGCCTCTGGACGGCCTCCTGGAGGACCTTTTGGAGGCCTCTTGGGTCGTCTTCGAGGCCTCCTCGAGGCCTCTTGGGCCATCTTGGGCCATGTTGAGGCCATCTTGGGCCATCTCAGGTGCGTCTTGGGCCGTCTTAGTCGTCTTGGAGGCCATCTTGGCTGTCTTGGGCCTGTTGGGGCCCTCTGGGGGCCGTCTTGGGGGCCTCTTGGGCCGTCATGAGCCGTCGGAATGCCGAGAAGAAGCAAATGCCAAAATCCTTCAAAAACCCAAGGCAAATCAATGAATTTGGATCTCTTCGGGTCCTCCTGGAGGACCTCTTGTAGGCCTCTTGGGCCGTCTTGGAGGCCTTTTGGGGGCCTCTTGGGCCGTCTTGGGCCATCTTGAGGCCATCTTAAGCCGGCTTGGGTGCATATTGGGCCGTCTTGGAGGCATCTTGGGGTCATCTTTAGCCGTCTTGGAGGCCATCTTGGCCGTCTCGGATGTCCCTTGGGGCCCTCTTGGGGCCGTCTTTGGGGCCTTCTGGGCCGTCATGGGGCCATCTTGGAGGCCTCGTGGGCGATGTTGGGGCGATCGTGGGGGCCTTTTGGGCCGTCTTGAGCCGTCGGAGTGCCGAGAAGAAGCAAATGCCAAAATCCTTCCAAAACCCACGGCAAATCAATTAGCCTGGCGAAAGACCCAACCATATGCAGCTGCGAGTACCGCACGGATATGAGACGAAGGAGGGGGCACGCAAACTAGGCTCCTCTTCTCATAGGCACCGCGCCACTGGGGCCTTCGGTGGAGCTCCCTATGGGGCCACGAAACGTGTGAGGGGTGTGCCGAAATGGGTGGTGGGGAGGCATGCGAACCCTGCCACTAGAGCCTTCGGTGGAGCTCCCTATGGGGCCACGAAACGTGTGAGGGGTGTGCCGAAATGGGTGGTGGGGAGGCATGCGGACCCTGCCACTGGGGCCTTCGGTGGAGCTCCCTATGGGGCCACCCGTGTGCCGAAATGGGTGCATCCTTCGGTGGGGAGCTCCCTATGGGGCCACGAAACGTGTGAGGGGTGTGCCGAAATGGGTGGTGGGGAGGCATGCGAACCCTGCCACTGGGGCCTTCGGTGGAGCTCCCTATGGGGCCACGAAACGTGTGAGGGGTGTGCCGAAATGGGTGGTGGGGAGGCATGCGAACCCTGCCACTGGGGCCTTCGGTGGAGCTCCCTATGGGGCCACGAAACGTGTGAGGGGTGTGCCGAAATGGGTGGTGGGGAGGCATGCGAACCCTGCCACTGGGGCCTTCGGTGGAGCTCCCTATGGGGCCACGAAACGTGTGAGGGGTGTGCCGAAATGGGTGGTGGTGTGCGAACCTGCCACTGGGGCCTTCGGTGGAGCTCCCTATGGGGCCACGAAACGTGTGAGGGGTGTGCCGAAATGGGTGGTGCATGCGAACCCTGCCACTGGGGCCTTCGGTGGAGCTCCTATGGGGCCACGAAACGTGTGAGGGGTGTGCCGAAATGGGTGGTGGGGAGGCATGCGAACCCTGCCACTGGGGCCTTCGGTGGAGCTCCCTATGGGGCCCGAAACGTGTGAGGGGTGTGCCGAAATGGTGGGGAGGCATTGCCACTGGGGCCTTCGGTGGAGCTCCCTATGGGGCCACGAAACGTGTGAGGGGTGTGCCGAAATGGGTGTGGGGAGGCATGCGAACCCTGCCACTGGGGCCTTCGGTGGAGCTCCCTATGGGGCCACGAAACGTGTGAGGGGTGTGCCGAATGGGTGTGCGGGACGCATGCGGGACTGGGGCCTTCGGTGGAGCTCCCTATGGGGCCACGAAACGTGTGAGGGGTGTGCCGAAATGGGTGGTGGGGAGGCATGCGAACCCTGCCACTGGGGCCTTCGGTGGAGCTCCCTATGGGGCCACGAAACGTGTGAGGGGTGTGCCGAGATGGGTGGTGGGGAGGCATGCGAACCCTGCCACTGGGGCCTTCGGTGGAGCTCCCTATGGGGCCACGAAACGTGTGAGGGGTGTGCCGAAATGGGTGGTGGGGAGGCATGCGAACCTGCCACTGGGGCCTTCGGTGGAGCTCCCTATGGGGCCACGAAACGTGTGAGGGGTGTGCCGAAATGGGTGGTGGGGAGGCATGCGAACCCTGCCACTGGGGCCTTCGGTGGAGCTCCCTATGGGGCCACGAAGCGTGTGAGGGGTGTGCCGAAATGGGTGGTGGGGAGGCATGCGAACCCTGCCACTGGGGCCTTCGGTGGAGCTCCCTATGGGGCCACGAAACGTGTGAGGGGTGTGCCGAAATGGGTGGTGGGGAGGCATGCGAACCCTGCCACTGGGGCCTTCGGTGGAGCTCCCTATGGGGCCACGAAACGTGTGAGGGGTGTGCCGAAATGGGTGGTGGGGAGGCATGCGAACCCTGCCACTGGGGCCTTCGGTGGAGCTCCCTATGGGGCCACGAAGCGTGTGAGGGGTGTGCCGAAATGGGTGGTGGGGAGGCATGCGAACCCTGGAGGGAGGAGGGCGAGGGGGAGGAGGAGGAGGAGAGGATGAGAGGAACGCGGGGCACCGTCTCTTCAAAACGAGGACCCAACACCACAGGATGGTTTGGAATGAATTTGGATCTCTTCCGTAACCATTTTGGCTCAAGCCATTTTGGCTCAAGGCAGCTGGCCAGGTCAGCTCGGGCCTGTCTTCAGGCTCGGCCTTCGACACAAAGGCTTAGGGGCAGGCCCTTTTGGCACAACCTCATCCAGTCTCACTTTCGCAAGTTGTGAGTTCAGAGTCACCCGCGCAGCCATGGGAGATGCCGCGCCTGAGTGGTTCTCGGCCTTCGTCACAGGACAGTTCACTGCATTGACGAAGACGGTCGCCGACACGAACAGCCAGCTGACGGGCCAGATCAAACAACTGGACGGACGGATGGCTGCACTCGACATCAAAGTGCAGCAGATGGAGATACGTATCCAGGCTTCAGAAGAAGCTATGCAGACAACATCAGTGACAGCCTCTAGCACGCTTGGCACTGACAGGACGAAGCGGGCTAGAGTGGGTATGACAACTGGGACAGACACCATCGATTCATGTAGAATGTGGGTGAGTGGATATCCACGTGCTTTTCTTGCTGCCACGAGACAGACGACCTGGCAGCAGCTCCAGCAAGGAGCACCGAACCACCTCACGGACGGCATCACAGCGCAGTTTGCAAACACGAGTCAAAGTTTCTCCATCCACTTCAAGAGTGAGGACGCGGCAAAGGAATTCGACTAATGGTTCATCCAGCAGCAGTTTCAATGGGAGGATGCTCGAGACGGATCATGCCATGCTCTACGTATTCGCACCGACCTCCCTGATGACGCCCGTCATCGACAGAGACGCATGTCGCATTTATGGGCGCCGATCGTTCAGTTCTTGAAGAAAATCAACAAGTACCAATCCGACTACAAGATCGGCGCAAACGGGTTCCGCAACGAGTTCTTCATCCGCACATCCGATGACTTGTTCATCTTGGCAAAAGGTGAACAGGGCGGGCTCGGCAGGCTGGTGCCCAAGCCCAACAAGAGCGACCTCGCCTCCTGGGGCATTCCCGTAGACCAGATGCAGCAGTGGATTGACGGATGTGGCAGTGCACGCTGATG